TGTATACGTGAATGGTAGACAGAGCTAGTTAGCCGAGATCGGGAAACTAACGATACCAAACTTAGAGTACAGTAACACATTTAAAAGTTAGATATCGCACTTAAAGCGATTAATTCAGATATATTAGACAAATATCATTACACTAGATATCATCCATGCTCTCACATCACCACAACAATCTCTTCTTTAAATACAGTTGTACCAATCCATCATAGAAGTGGAGAACTTCCTTATCTAATCCATCATGACAACTTAATAAATTTTGTTATTTTAGACTAACTTTAAAATTATTTAAATTTAAATTAGTTTTAATAATAAATATAAAATAATCGCAAAAAAAAACAAAAAGCTGATAGAAAAGAAGTTTCTTGATAAATAGAAATCGCAAAACCTAAGAGAAATGCTTCGCTAAATATAATTTGTTCTTCCATCATTAAAGAACTATATTTAAATCTTTAATATTTATTTTATATACTATAATATTATATTTTGATTATTAAGAAAGAAAGATATATAGCATTTCATAGAAATTATTACATTATAGTTGTTATTATTAGTTTAATATTGTTTAAGTTTAATATTTTAATTTAATTAGTAAAGAGTTTTTAGTTTTCGCGTCTATAAAATTACTTTAGTTTTAAATTCTTAAATACTTTAATATGATTTAGTTTTAATAATTTTTAAATTAAACAAATTTGTATTAATTGTTTTAATTGTAATTATTATTTTGTTAACTATTTTATCTTACGTATGTCAGATTATATGAAAAGCATTATAAATAATTTTATTTATCGCTTTTTAATTTTAAATAAAATTTACTTTTTAGGAATTTTTTATTAAACTTTTAAAATATTTTATAAATAATTTTTAATATATATTGTATATATTTTATTATAATTGTATTGTTATTCATATTGCTTTATTCGAAGAAACCAAACATAATTATTTTCTGGTTGTGTAATTTTTTTATATAGATTGTTTTCTAAACTAATTAAAATTAATTACAGAACTTGTTTAAAATATTTATAATAATAAGTATTTCTAATGTTTTAATTTATATATTAATTGATTTTAATTAAATTGCAACTTTTTAATTTTTTTTTAGCTCATTCTACCTTCGTTTCATCGCATTTATTCAATTGTTTTTAATTACTTTTAATTATTAAGTATTTAATTAATTTGGTTTTAATCCTCTACGCCGGCTTTTAGAATATTTTAGAATGGATAAAATGCAGCTATGCTGGAAGTACTAGTAAAATTTAGTATCACAGTATTTTATATAAGATCAAATTTATATTTATTTAATTTTATATAACTTTTTCATAAATTTTATTTGTATTCTTTTTGTAGTTTTTTTTTTTGCATCAATAATTGTGATTATAGGTTTTTTTCACTATTGTAAAGATAATTAGTTGCATTTGTGTATATATGTCGATGTGTTTTTTTTTGTGTATATTGTTTAAATGTATTTATTTATATATATTATAACGTGTATTCTTGTATTAATTAAAATTTTAAAAACTATGCTCGCTATATGCTAATAATTATACTTCTATAATTTCGTTATATTTCATCACTTAAACTTTTCCTAATAAAAAATTTTATAATATATATAAAATATTATTTTTTTTTTAGAAAGAGAGATATAGAGTTGAAGAGAAAAGAAATCCTATTATAGCAGAGTAAAAATAGTAAATCTACATATGTCTCTAACTAATTATAAATCATTTTTCAAGTCAAATTTTTTAGTTCGTTTTTTACAAATCTACTTTACATACTCCGTATAAAAAAACATGTGTACTCCATTCAGACCAATCTCAATATCATTTTCTATTCACAATTGTGTATATAAGTAAAAAATTTTAACATATTTATATATCATCATTAAAATTTATATATTAGTTTACAGCATAAAATTTGCTAATCAACTCATGAGTTTATACGATATTAAGCACTTAATATACTTTTATATCAAAAAAGAAGTATAAAATGAATTAAAAACTGTATATTACAATTACTAATTGTTTATAATGTTAAGAATATATAACAACTATAGTATACCCAACTTCACTGCAATATATTAAATAAGGAAAACCATACCACAGTTAACTTTTTAATAATACTTTTTTTAATACTTTTAAAGAAAATTAGCAAAAATAAATAAATAATTTTATTTAAAAAAAAAAGTTTTTAAGATCAAATAAGAAGTAAATAAAATTAAATACCTAATAAAAATAAATTATAAATAAAAACAAATAATATATAAAGAATAAAAATAAATAAAACTAATAAATAAAAATAAAACTAATATATAAAAATAAATTATAAAAATGAATAACAAACAAAAATTAATAAATATTGTTATAAACATAAATAAAAACATAAATAATGAATAGAAATATATAAAAAGATATAAGTAATAATTTATGCAAGAAAAAATATACATATATAAAATAAAAAAAAATATATAATTAAAGAATAAACAAAAATAAATAAAAAATAAATAAAAATATAAGACAAAAAAATAAATAAAAATGTATTATAAGTAAATATATAATAAAAATAAATAAAAACATGAAAAAATAAATAATAAAAACATACACTATAAAAAAATAAATGTAAAAAGAATAATAAAAATAAAAACGATGTCAAGTGTACTTTTAATATTTTTTATTTAATATAGTCAATGACGAAATTATATATATATACACTATGTAAAAATAAATAATAAATAAAACTAGCTAAATAAAATAATATTATTATAATTAACTTAATAATAATTAAATTTAAAAAATCTTACCATGAGTATATAAAATAATTAAGATGAATGAAAAAAATTAATTAAAAAGTGTTGAAGAAAGTCCAATAAAAATTTTGATGAAATAAAAATATTTCATAAAAGTGTGAACATTTTTTTTACACATTAGAAGAAAAAATGTGAATACAAATAAAACACAATTAAAATAATTTATAACAATTTTTTTATTATATTAGGAATAACGAAATGAATACAAAAAAGGCTTAAGACAACATGAAAAATAAATAATATAAATGATGAAAATGTGTTATAAAGTAATAATAAATATTGTTTAATTTTATTAATCTCAAAAATTCTTTCAAGTGTTCTTTCAAGACTTTGTGTGATGTAAGTTAAACTGTGAAACAATTGCACATTTTTTTATATATCCTAATCAGTTATAATAAACCAATTCTATATGTAAATTTACACTTTCATGCCGTCTAAACTTTAACTAATAAAAAATCAGTACGGTGTTAAAAATAACAAAACATTATTTATATAGTGTGGATATTTTGAATTTTATATAATATAAATAAATAAAATTTTAATTTTTGTATTGTTGTTTACCTTGATGTCTAAGTTAATATAAGATTTGATTATTTAATAAAATTAAATACATTTTTACGTTTTAGATAAAAAACTATAAAACAAATTATTTATTTATTTTTTTAAATTAATTAAAATTCGCTTTTGATTTTTGTAAATTCAATATTTGTTCTTATAGATTTTCTATTGCGTATTGATTTCAAAGTATAGCAAAAGTTTGATTTTATTTTTTAAAGAAAAAATTTTTTATTTCCAAATTAATTTTATTATTTTATGTATATGCCATATATAATACATATATTTATATATATAAAATTAATTATATATGCATTAATTTAAAAAAATTGGATCATCAATATATTGAAAAAAAACTTTACAAAAGAAAACTATTACATTGCAACAAACTTACTGATATATGTAAAACATATATAAAACAACTAAAGTATCTCGTTTTTATTTAAAAATATATAGATTTTGTCGTCCATATAAATTTTTAATTTCAGGATGTAACAGTATACACAGTACTTTTACAAACTCACACTAATAAACATAAAATTGAAAGAAAAAAAAATTAATTCCTAATATAAAATCTCTAAGTTAGTGTATGCGTTGTATATAGCGTATTGTGTGTGTGTGTAGGGTGTGTGTGCTTCTGTATTGTGTATATATTCATCTATGTTCATAACAATCAAACTAAATTTATTTTAGTTTTTAAAATTTATTTATCTAAAACTAGTATATTTATATATAAATATTATTATTGATATATATTTTTGAGAAGTCAATTATATTAAAATTGTGTGTTTATTATATTATAATATTCTTATATTATGGTTTGCATATACATATATATATATATATTGCAATATATTTAAGATTTGTATGCAGAATTAGACTAAAACGCCATAATACTTGCTTTACTTAGTTCCAGCATATTAGCTACATTCTATTCTAGAAATATTCTAGAGCAATTGTGATAATGAATATAATGCTTATTAAATAAATTATTAGCTTTAAAGCTAATTAGAAAATGATTTTTAAGTTTTGTTAATTTTATAATATTCGTACAACAAACGCACAGCATGTATTGTATATGAATTAAAACCAATTTTTGAAAAAATTCTGACAATAAAATCATTATAAAATTTAGTTTTTTTAGAATTTTAACTGCGTTTGCAATATAGAATATCTCAAATATTTTGTTATAATCACCAAAATATCTAAACGTTTCCAAATTAATTTCCATACAATTTTCGGATAAATTCAAATTTATTTTGAAAATATTTAAAATACATTTCTCATGTACATAATTGTCGTTTTGTTTGAAATTCTTAGAGAATATGAATTTGAACTTATAACACTTTTGTGTATTTTGTAGAGTGTTGCTTAAATATTTAGTAGCATCTACTAAAGCTTTAAATATATAGACTAAATATTTTAACAATAATTTAATTACTAATAATAATAATTTAAGTATATATTTCATTTTAGTAAGAGGTTGAAGAGATTTTGATCCTTGGAAAACAAACTTTGTTATTTCACTCTTTTTGTTGCTGTTGATGATGTTTTTTATGTTATATATTTTATTGATAATGAAGACGATAAATTTAGTTATAATGACATATTTTAAAATTGTCATTGGTTTTAAATTGTTAATAATATTATTATAAATTTTAATATTTTTATTATTTATAGTTGTAATATTAAACTTTTTCATTTTACGTAGTCATTCTGGAAGCGCAAATTCATCTTGTTCAATTGGTTTATTCAACCAATTACCAAGATCCTCACGACGAAATGCCGCAAACAGTTCACGTTTGGCAATCTAAAATTAAAAAATTTAATTCAAAAAATTATATTGTAATTAACATTTATATAACTTACTTGGTAATCTTTAACCCTATTTTTAGTCTCTCCATACAAAGCTGTAATTTTTCTATTTTGAATTCCTGGCAAATTCTTCATTAAATAACCGTATTTCATAAAATACATTTGTTTGGTAATACGAGATACTTGGTTATTGACTGTTTTGCCTGTAAGTGAATTCACAACTTCTACTTCGGTATCCCCAATGGTCCAGTTGATACCGAAATTTGGTGCCTTTGCCTGGTTACGTGGTTCTGCAGACGTAACCAAAGCTAGCCGAGGCTTATTCAAGTGATAGGGCGGCGGAAGACCTTGTATTGATTTTTCTATACGTCCACAGACAGCACGATACATATGTTCTGGGTGCAATAGACTGCCCAAAACTATGGAATGCAAATAAATCGGTTCAATAATAGATGACAGTAGAGATCCTTGTATGCCTACTATATTCCAGCGAGCAATTTTATCTGAGCAAGACATCGTTAGTAAGCGTTGGCCCTGTATTTAAGAATTAAAATGGATCAAAATGGAAAAATGAAGTTTAAAAGACTATAATAGATTAATAAGAATTATGTATATCGAGAGGGTTTATCTCTAGCCTTGACATTGGCCAGATTCTTGCCTACATAATTGCTTCTGGGTGATTCTAACTTGATATTTTCTTTACTACCCATTATTACGAGGATTTGTGGATTCGAAACGATTTTCTTAACTAATTGGAGGGAGGATTCGGATCTCCCTTCATCACAACTTACTAACTAACTAGAGGGTCTAATGTTTGATAAAGTAAGGTAACAGAATACTCAAGAAGGATAGACGATCAGTAGTCAGTATGAAGACAATTAAAAGATTTTAGAAACAACTATACTTCAAACTATCCGTATTCTAATCTTTTACTAAAACAAGAACAAGGTAAATAAAAAAAAATAGAAAGACAAAAATATAACTACATTTACTCTAGAATAGGCTGGAGTAGGTTTTAAGGTTGACAGATACTTTCAATAGAAGAAGTTATAAAGTTTTTTAAAAATTGCTAAACAAACAGTGACCAGATTTACATTTCAAAATTACTAATAAATTCTTAGTTCTGAACAACTTTAATTATAAAATTATCTTATATTGGAAGAACCACTTCAGTATCTATAAAGACAATTGAAATGTTTTTAATATGACCAAATCTGGTTCTGGGTCTACATCTTGGAGATATTAACTTTAGCATCAACAAGGGTTTTTTTTTTGTATTATAAAACAAATTTAATAATAATACTACGTAATATAGGCAGATGTTATCAGTGGTATCACAAAGGTAGATATGAAAATAACTACTAGAATTGATTGGGTTCTACTTACTGGAGATATTCGTTAACACAAACGTAATTACAAAAACCTATTCACGATATCACGATAGTGACAAAATTCTAGGAATATTGGAATCTACATTCTGGATCTACTGATTTTAGTATAATTTTATACTACAGGCTAAGATAATTTAAGTTAATTTATAGATAATATTATCTTTAAAATAAAACTTAAATGATACTTGACAAAATTTCCCATTTAGACACCAATGATTTCATATCGTTTCGTAACTACTAATTTAAAGACATTGTGGCATTATATCGATCTATCATAGATTAAGTACAGTGGACGTCCAATATAACGAATTTTATGTTGCACCCCTTGTTCGTTATATCGAAAAATTCGTAATATCGAATGTTATACATTTAGCTACCAATATGGTTATTTTTAGGAGATTTCATATATTTGAGTTCATAAATTAACTTATAACCACGTACGAGTATACATTTATTTAAAAGTATTTTTTATTCGGATGTTACAAAAATTATTTATAAGAAAGGACGCATTCAATCATAGTGTAGAGTAAAAAAAATCATTAATTTTTGTTTGTTTTTTACTACACTCAAGACTTTTCTGAACAGCTTTTTCTTGTAGTTCTCTTAGTACAGCTAATTTTGAAGTTTCATTATTGTTAACCGCCCACTTTATGCATTTTTCGAAATGATTTATGGCATCTTTATGTTTAATAATTTCTAAATTATTTTCTTCTATATTTTCGTCATCAGATCCATCATCCTCGTCCGAGACATCGATGGTATTATCAGCATTATTTCATTTATTAACTTCGTACGTACTAATGTCACACTAACAATAAAATTGAAAATATAATATAGGATATTTAATATGTACATATGTATGTCTGGATAGTATTTCGTATATGATAAACTGAATTTGTGAACAACAGATCAGTGGCGCCTGCATATATGCATTTTGCCATATATAGGCATTTTTCTCAGAAAAAAAAAAACGGACAATTACATGCATATTCAAAGCTGAATAATGCTAGTTTTATAGTAAAATTATATTCAAAAGCATAATTTGTATAAAACAAAAACGAATAAGGAACAAAAAATTTTTTGTTCGTAATATGGAGCAGAATTTTTTTTTTCGTTCGTTATATAGAACAATCAATGTAAATATTTTGGGTGTTCGTTATATCGAAAATTCGTAATATCGAGCGTTCGTTATACTGGACGACCACTGTAATTGAAAACTTTCAGGTGATAAAGGAAACCAAAATATGTATCCCGAAAGATTACGATTAAAGATGAAGACAATGAGATAATGAACGTGGATTAGAATAATTAATTTTTTTGCAAAATTCTTGCAGGTATACGGATTCAGATAGTTTAGAAGTATAGAAGTTGAATACACCCGACGATTATCAATAAACGATTCTAGTATCTTTATTCGGGTTTCCAAATGTGATACAGTCAATAGCTCTTAATTGTTTTGGTTAGCTTAAAACACTCTGGTTGAGATAAGACAATAGCATCAACAATGGCATCAATCAACCCAACCTATTGCCATGCTGTCTACTACACTATACACCTAGATACAATAAGAGATCTCAACCTAAGTCCGTATTTTGGATACAATATTTTATATTTAGCATCAAGTCAAACTCAACTTCTGTTGTGATGTATTCTATACCGAAATCTTCACTATATGCAGAGTTATAGTCAACAAGAAACCTTTTATTTTTAGTGTAACCTGAATTTTTATGGTGCTGTAGGACAAGATAGAAATAAACGGGGTACTAACTCCCGACGGAGCAGATTGATATTTTGTGCTGTAACAGACCCTAACCGAACAGAAGACATTCCGCCTTCCGAATGAAGGCCAGAATGTCGTCCGCTGAGGACCTCCTAATGTTAGAAGGGGAGAGTAGCTCTCCTTCCAGGGACTTCCTCCTGGCCCAGATCAAGACTGGGCTATGGTACTGTATATTAACTTGTAATCACAGTGTAAGAAGCTAAGTTCACTAGAAAACTTCAGCTTAAGTAAATACCATGGGACTGGGATCCATGGGATCTTCCGATGTAAAATATTATAATATTGTTAATATAGCAATTTAAACTAGTTGAAAATAAGAAATTTAACAAAGATTCGAAAACTATATATGTATCTAAATTATACACTGCTCCCTGGAGTTATTGATTCTAAGAATCACCTTTTATAATACGCTTCTTGAAAAGGATTAATAAAAATTTCAAAGGCGAGGACAATACGCCCATACCATAACTATCCAAGTTCGACGAAAAAACTTAGGGAGAAATTGAAAAAAAAAAAATAAAAAAACATGATAATAATTATAATTACTCACCTGTAAAACACCATCCCATGTTTGTATGCCATCACTGCTCTTTACAGGTATTGTGCCTTCTCCCGACTCTATTTTGGTTCGAAGTTGTCCACGCGCTTTTCTGAATGGGTTTAAATAATTTTTTGTTTAATTTTTTAAATTTTTTTAATTATTACAAATTCAAATAAGCACAACAGCAAAAATATTTTTAATGCATTTTTAGTTGATGTCAGTTTATTTAAAAGACATTCAATACGAACGAAGACGTGGACAAAAACGAACACGAGGACGAATACGGGTACGAGAAGAACGGAGCCATCGCAACCAAGAAGATGTGATGTGAACGCGATTTTGTCATCAAAAACAGATGAAGGCAATAAAAATTCACACACATAAAAAAATGTATAAAATAAAATAACGCAAGTAATTAAGAAATTATAAGAATTTATTTTTCGAACAAATTCAAAAACAATAAAAAAAAACAGAGAGGAAAAAAAGAGAAGAAAATATTGATCCACGTTTAAAACTGGAGTTTTTTATTTTTTGTTGTTGAAATATAATTAAACAAAATAGTTGTTTTTTATACAAACTAGAACATTTTCAATTTCAATTTGTATACGCCAAAAATATTAAAGCAATTTGGCAGTACTGTTGTGGAGGAATATCCTAGAACAGTGCTACCAAACATCTTGCTTTTAGATTTGCTTTGAATGTGCTTTCAAACAAAAACAATACTTAAAATTTATATTTAAAACAAGAAGAAAAAACGTTTTGGGTAGGCGTGGCAATTCCTGGGGATTTTTAGAATTTTTTAATATTTTTGCCAATTTCTTTATTGCCTCTATGACAGATACTGAACATTGTCCCATATGGTCTAGTGGCTAGGATATCTGGCTTTCACCCAGAAGGCCCGGGTTCGATTCCCGGTATGGGAAAATAGTTATTTTTGTATTAATTTTCATATACAAATTTTGTATTCATATAGTATCTGAAATTTTTATTCACCAACTTCAAACGTTTTTTCTTTAAGTTAACAAATTTCTCTACTAATTTTTTCTACAGAAAAATTTATTTTAAAAAGTAAATTTTAAAGTAATTCGGATACAAAATTTGTTTGTTTTTTACCAACCTATTTGGATGTTTGTCAACACCAGTGTCATTTTCGTGAGGACTAAAAATCCGTGCATCACCACATGGCGCTGTGTTTATATATAAATGGAAATGTACACCGGATTTTAGTTTATAAGGGTATTGCCCATTCTCTTGATTCCTCACGAAAATCGACTGATTTGCTGTTGCTATAATAAATCAAAAATTAAAGAATTGTTTTTGCGATTTTAGTTATGAATTAAAAAATTAGTTTTATTATTAAATTATTGTATTCTATTTATTGTTTAAAGTATTTGTTAAATAAATAAAAACAATACCAAAAGTTTAATGAGAATGTGTTAGCGGAAAGAACACAATGAATGTGTTTAAATGTTATTAAAAAATAAAAAATATATAGTAGAAGTAAAATAAATTTAATTGCATTTTTTTTATTTAGATTTTAAAAGCAAAAGAAAAGCGCAATACAAAAAGAAAGCTGCAGAAATAAGTACAATAATAAACAAAAAATAGTATATTATGTAAACTATATTATAATACATTAATAGTAATAGTATATGTTAAAAATAGTAAATGATAAAAATTCCAAAATTTTAAAAACAAATAAAAATTTTGAAAGCAATAAAAACCTAAAAAAAAAACAATTTTAAGATTAAAAACACAACTTAAAAATTAAAAAGACAACCTAAAAATTAAAAACACAACTTGAAAATTAAAAAAATAAATTAAAAATTATTAAAAATGTTTAATTTATATATAATATAATTTAAAATGTATAATATGTATTATAAAATTTACAATGTATCATATATATATAATAAGACAAAAAATGGTGTGAAAAAAAGTTTGTGAAACGCTGATTTTAAATGCTCAAAATAATATAGAAAATATTCTATTTATAAAAACTAATAAATATATAAAGTATAGTGGTGGCTGACAACATAATTATATTTAGTGAATATTTTAGAATTTATTTTTGCCATCGCTGTCAAACTATTTTTGTTTATAATTATTTAATTGAAAAAAAAAAATATTCTGCAATACGTTTGGAACGAGGGTTGGGCAATAAAATTTATTATATATTAATTCAAATCGTATAATATATCAAGTATGCAAATGAACTATTCCTCTTTAAAACAATTCTTAGTCCCTTTCAAGAATTCAACTGGATTAAATAATGCGATCTAAGAAGATTGTCACGATATTATGGATGAACTATATCATTAAATTAGATTATCAAAGGATGTGGAAAAACAGAGATGAATTAAAATATGTTAAGACTTAAGTTAAAGAGCTATAAAAGAAATTATCTTCGAATGTGGATTCAAAAGAAGAGAAATTAAGTATTTGATTCTTCACCTATCAGTTCAATTTATGTAATACTCAAAAAAATATATAACTAGGCGCAAATTAATGTCTTTAGGGTATTTGACGGAATAATTTCCGAACTAGTACATTATAAGAACAATAACAATTATATCCAGTTAAAATCTTGCATAGAAGGTTGATGACCTCTTAACCCCAACTTACTAATATTAAATCTTCATGTAAATGAAAAAAATTATGATAACATTTAGTGCTATTTATTATGAGAGGACGTTTTCGCAATCGACTAATAGGTAATGGATCTCTAGGTATCACTCGATCTCGTTGTTAAAATTTTGATGTGAAAAGTATTACTCGCGATTGCCCTACCTATTAGTGGAATCAAATTTAGCTACTTTTAGTAAGTATAGTAAATAACCGGCATTGGTAAGTTGTACAAATACGTTGTTATAGAAAGAAAAAGCTCGATATAATAAAGATGAAATTTCACAAACATTTGCTAGGATCGAAGGAAAGTTTGCTTTGAATTTCGTAGGTTAACACGGGTATCATCCATTATAAACTTCTAGTACCTAGTCAGTTAACCGATAGTTGAAATAAATTATTAAAAAAAAAACTGACACAAAATTGGTCATCTTAACAATGTAAGATTACGCATATCTTTCGTGAATAGCAAATATTAAAAAGTTCCTGTTAAAAAGTTTCAATATGTATTGTTATAGCCTAAAGGGATGTGTGGAGTAGGAAAGATGAATAATCTGTTGAGCAGGAAACATGAATGGATTAGAACACGTATATATGAGAATGGATAAAATATGAGTGCGAAGAAAGATGGAAGGGGATAGTGATTAGTGAAAGTGGTATTTGAGGGATAAAAGAAATAGATGTGAATCTGGATTTATGTGGAATTTTAGGCGAGTTGGGATTTACCTCATGAAGCTATTCATCTGTTCAAATGGCTCAGTGCCAACCGCACTTATTCCATGTATAATACCAGCAAGAATTTTTATTTCTTATATCTATTATACAGTCTTGAGACTGCACCTCGGGGTTATCATATATTTGTCAGTAGAAAACTGTTAAAAGTCAGATTCAGTTATTTAACGACAAAACCTCAAACTTCTACAATAAAGATACAATGGTTAAATGATGTTAAAGACTGGTCGCAGTGGTGTTGCAAGAATAACTGGCGCCATTAAGACTATAGTTTTTGAAAATAGATATTAATGAATAATATACAAAGCATACTGTTTTTGGGACGTTCAAGCTATTTTTTGCAAGTGGCGTTCGGAGTGTAATAGATTCCATATCCACCTTCTCCCCTCAAACCACTATTTCAATTAAGCAAATGTTTTGTTGAAATAACAAAAATGTTTTCAATTTAAACGCAGAACATTTTTTTTCTCCAACTCAATATGTTAACACGCAATTATTTAATAACAAAAGTAATAACTTGTTACAATTAATGTATGTTTTTAATAGATTATATTTTTTAAATTAATTTTTTTAATTTATTTTTTTAAATTAATTTTTTTTAATACATATAACGAAAGATTTTAAAATAAAACTTAAAGCAAAATTGCAGATGACTTGGGATTATGAAATATTAAGGCATTAATGCTTTGATGAAGTATTTATAATATATTTTCCATATAAAGATATCATAGTTCATACAAGTATTATAAATGAAATCAAATGCTATTAACAAACGAAAGTAATATTTTAAATAAATTGGGAAACGGTAGAAGCAAATAAATATATTATATTAGATTAAGGATAAAAGTAAATTGCAAAAAATATAACATTTAAAAATATAATATTTATTGAAGTTACTAGAATTTAGTATCACATTACAAAGCCAAGAAGAGAAAGAATAAAAACTGAAATACTTAACACAAGTTTAAGTATGTTAGCATTTAGAAAATATCGTATGGTCAGTAAAAAAAAAAAAGAAAAGAGGTCGTAATAAAAAACTACAAAGAAATTGAATCCAAGGAGCAAAATACATACTCTGAGTGCACTGAAGTTCCAATTGAGCGTAGAGATATTTCATCAAGCACCGACGTGATACGATTTCAGCATGTGAGTCATTGAGTACAGCACCGGATACACTCATGTGTTCTCCACTAACACATTTCGTGCCAGTGGAAACAGATATGACCTGCAAACAAATAAGCACGTGGAATTAAGTCAGATTGCACTCCAAGTTAATATTTTAAACTGAAATAAAGAAAATAGTAATAAGTAATTCGAGCAAATGCAACTGTAAAGAAGCATCCTTAACGCGAGACATGTAACCCTGACATTTCTTTCATTTTCTCCTCTGCCATGCAGCCATACAGCCATAATTGCTATGGCAACTTCCGTGCTACTTCCTTTCGGAGAGCGTAATTTATGTCATAATAAAAAAAAGTATTTATGGCATAAAACACAGTTGCATTTTTGTATATAGTTTCGCCTTAATTTATGATCACACATCCATGTGATACGTGTTGTATGTGATTGTTTTCGGTTACGGTGCACTTCATAACGGAAGTATTGTGGGCGTTTTATTTGTGTCACTGTGTGCATATATTAACATTAATGAGATATACTTACTTTGGCTTCATTGAAATTTAAATTTTCTGTCATTACAATGCCTGCCAGCACTTTGCGACGTGAATATGATTCTTGACCTTTAATAACTTCCATAAACTTTTCTAGCACCAAACGTCCAATAGTGTCAGCATGTATCTGTGGTAATTCCATGGATGATGTTTTATCATCTATGGGCAATGGTGCATTTTTCTGTGGATGCATCATTGGACTATATGAAATATCGCACAGCGAAGCTAATGCAGCCTTAGCAGCAGCATTTTTTGCCAATTTCTTTGATGGTCCTAAAAAATTATATACATATTTAATGTAGATATATAACATAATATAGAACAAAATTTTTTTTAAATTAATTACCTGTGCCATCGAATTTACTGTTATTTACTGTCACAGTCATTTTAAACCGACAATTATTTTGCGCACCATCAATTGTCGAACAGTCAAAGTGAACGTCATTAAAGAGTTCATACAATAGCATAACAGGTCCTTTGTCAGGCACTTTTTTCTGACCGTCAACGGTGAGCCCAACTCTGGCATCTTTATTTTTTTTTTTAAATAATTACAAAATTATTATTATTAAGAAATATAATTTTTTTTCAAATTTTTCTATTTTGTTTTTCTCTGTAAATTTAAGCTTAAATGCTGTAAAGGTCTTGGAAGTTTAGAGGAATAGAATTTTTTTTAAGGATATTAAAGACTTTGACAATATAAACAATACATAACAATACATAAAAAATAATATACAAATTGTAATAAAATAAATATAACAAACAATAACAGTAACATAAATTAAATGTAAAGTATTATTAACTCACAAATAATTAATTAAGAATAGATTTATACATTTAAATATAAAATAACAAAATTGCATGATAATAAGAATAATTTAAAAAAAAATCTATATTTTATTTATAGTTTGTTTAACTTTAATGCTAATTCGATGTTTTGTTGTAATAACAATTTCTTCAAAGAATATTTTTAATAATAATATCAATATTGGCAATATTCAAGAAATATATTTTTCACATATTTTTAAAATAATATAATAAAATATATATATAACAAGAAAACATAAAATAAAATAAAATCAAACATTTCTTAGCTCACTTTACTTGCAAACTTTCGGCTAACTGTTATCCGAAAAATTTTTTTTTATCCAGTCTTCACAGGTTGTTCACAGATCATTTGTTTTTATTTAATCCATCTTTAGTGCTGCTTTCTGGCACATTTCTGTTATTGATAATTTTTTTTTTCTTTTTTCTTTCTTTTTCTTTTCTTTTTTCTCCTTTTTCTTATTTTTTTTCTTCTGTTTTTCTCCTTTTTCTTATTTTTTTTCTTCTGTTTTTCTCCTTTTTCTTATTTTTTTTCTTCTGTTTTTCTCCTTTTTCTTCTTTTTTTTTTATACTTCTTTTTCCTATTTAAGTGCTGTTAGCTGTCACTTAGTCAAAATTTTCTCTGTTTTTTGTGCTTCTATCTTGATAGTAAAGTTAAAATTTTTTCAATGCACATTCTTGAGTTAAGGTTCGCGTTTTAACAGTATTCGTAACTTAAGTGAAGAGATCTTCTTCAATCTTCAATAGTAATTTAACTGTAGGAGTGTTTGAGATAGTTTGAAGGAATACAAGATAACACAAAAAATACTAAAAGTTATAAAAAGTTCTAAGAATATAATCAGATTACCAATTTAAAAAATCAAACTGTTATTTGATTTGTTATTCATAGAGGATTAACAAAAGATGGTAAAGGTAAGAACACCGCAATTAACGAGGCATCAAATACGAGATGCTCAAATAAGAAAAACCATATACACTACATCATCTCAATTATTTGCATCCGCACTGATGTAAATATTATGGGCTGTAGATCAGACAAACTACGAGTAAAATACACATAACTTTCATTTCCTCAATCTCATAAAATAATTGTTTAAATAAAGTTTCTAATTAGAAGTTGAGATAAATTTAACTTAAGGGTTTTTTGAAACAATACCATCGAAGTGTATAAAGCTTCAACTACATCAAAGCTAATATTACTGCCTTAATGTATAATAAATCGTTATTAAAAAAATTTTTTATTAGAATCGTTTACTGCTATAAATGTATTTCAAACAAGAATTATCGATTTACATTTTGATTGTTTAGGACTTTTGTATTTAACCGGAAACAAAAAAAATTATTTTAACATCAAAGCAGTTATATTTTGTGTACAAAATGATGTTGTATAGAATAACGAAACTCAATAATTTAATAATAAATATTTATGTACAAATTTATTTGGTATCTTAAGGACTAACAAAGCTAACAAGAGAACCCTTGAAATTAAATAAAAAAATAATTTATCATTAAAAATTAAATTTTGATTGGGATCAAAATTTATTTATTGAAACACATATTTCAATTTCTGTAATATCAATTTTTCTAATATTATTGAAAATATGAAGAAAAATATTATTAATTTTTTTTCTTGTAATGAACAAATTTTATATAAAAATATATTGATTACATCAATTAAATTTTTGGAGTTTATGAAAAAATTAATTATCCATTAAAATAATTATCCAATTAAATGATTTTTATAGTAGCTAAAAGTAACCTTAATATAATTAAAACGTTACTTAAGGAGAAAACATACCTTCTGCTCAAAAAGTACTCGGATTTTGTAAATAAAACACACAAATTTAAGTTTTATTCCAAATTTATTTTATCTTCTTCAAAATATGCTGCTTCTAAAGCGATACACATATGCCAACGCTTAACCCAATCTTCCATACACTTTTCGTAGACCCATGTAGGTATGGTTTTTAGTTCCGTCGGCGAATTCTCTTTTACCGATTCAATCGATTCAAAACGCTTACCACGAAGGGGCAAGTTTCGGGAACAGGAAAAAGTCGCACGGATCCAAATCTGGCGAATATGGTGCCTGAGCGATGACAGAGGTGCCGTGTTTGGTCAAAAAAACGCGTACAACAAGAATTTTCCATAGTAAAAATCGCTAAATGCACTTGAGGTAGTCTCACATTAAGAGCTGTTATAAACAAACTAATTGACAAATGACGCTCTAATTTGTACCATATGTCAAAAAAGGATGTACCAACATAACACTAACGGATACTTTTTGAACAGAAGGCATATTTTGACTACATTTATAAAATAAACATATATTTTAAAATTAACTGAAATATTTTTATAACTATACTTAAAGAGTAATAAAAATATATTAATATGGTTACGTGAACGGCAAATTTTATGTGTTCTATACTTTTCAAATTAAGCTAAAGTTTTAACGTCGGCAAAGCAGATTTCATCGGACCCAGAGGGATTACCTGGACTGTACCAATAACGAGTATATAGCAGAGTTATTTATTATATTTAACGATATATGTTATATTGTTCAAATATTTCGATAACGTCACTTCTAGCTATATTTTTTACATTTGTTCACCTTTCGTTTTAACTGTTCGCAATGTAAAGTACTATGTTTTAACGCACGAAATAAGGAATCAGTAAATTTGATCGATCTTAAAGACTAAATTTTTTTATTACTGCACCGTACATTTGAGCATTGTGTAGTAAACGTAGTTTGAAATACAATAAACTTACATATAATGCAAAACTTTCGCATATGAATTCATATAACAAGATGAAATTTTAAAACTCAGAGATACCTGAAACAGATATAAATTGATCTGATAATATATACTTCGCGAATTCTTATAACACCGTTTGTTTAAATTTTTAAATATTAACGAATATTTCACGCAATATGCAGTATATAGATACATTTTTAATTATTTTAATAGATATTTTTATAAATAAATAAAAAAATTATAAATAGTTTCTGATCATAAAAATATATATTATTTTATATATTATATATAAAATTATTTTTGAAAATCCATACCCTCCACCACTGAATGAATCATTCCACCTATCCCATATGGTCTAGTGGCTAGGATATCTGGCTTTCACCCAGAAGGCCCGGGTTCGATTCCCGGTATGGGAAACTCTTTTTGCTTTGTATATTAATTTATTATAAAATATTTTATCAACTTTATTATATTATATACAATACAATAATTCAAAAAACTATTTAAACGCTTTAAAAATCAAAAACAAAAAATCTATCACTCATTTTGTTAAAATTTAAACACATTACATTGTCATGAAGTAGTCAATATCAGTAACATTCGACATCGTGTTACAAAAAAACCACTTCCTCTGTTTTTCGTTGGACTAAAGCCCTCAGACAAGGTGAAAACAATTTACAACTGTACTGACTTGCTGCACACAAAAATTTCCATTGAAGCGCCTAAAAAGAAGCGCGAATTGCCGCAATGCACTCGGTGCCAACGATATGGTCATACAAAACATTTTTGTAATCATATGCCACGCTGTGTTAAATGCCCTGAAAACCACTTATCCTCAGATTGCCCACGCAAATCCCCCGGTAATGATGTATGGTGTGTTCTTTGTGAAGGTAATCACCCGGCTAACTATAAAGGGTGCACAGTCTACAAACAACTCCAGAAAAAAGCGTTTCCAGCCCTACGTAGAAAAATAACAACTGATACAGAAAGGCAACAGAACACCAAATTGAATGTAACAAGCCAAACGTATGCAAATGTTGTTAAATCTAACAATATAAACACTCAAGAGCACGTAAACTCTGCTCAGCAAAACGATTTTCCTGAGCTTAAATCAATGCTCAAAACGGTTATGGAACAAATGAGCTCTATGCTCAACCTCCTAACCGCATTTGTCGCTAATACATCCAAATAATGAGTAGTCTAAATATAGCTATTTGGAACGCTAACGGGCTGACCCAACACATTTGCGAAATTAAGACTTTTCTTCTTGACAAAAACATTGATGTTATGCTTATTAGTGAAACTCACTTTACATCAAGAAGTTATCTGAGGCTTCCATATTACACAATGTACAACGCAAACCATCCTTCTGGTAACGCCCGTGGTGGCGCAGCAATAATCATAAAAAATAATATTGACCACTCATTTCTCACCAATCACAATGAAGACTATCTACAATCAACAGCCATATCAGTACGAGATATATATGGTGAAATAACTATTGCCTCTATATACTGTCCACCTAATCAACCAATTAAAAGTCATCAATTCGCAAATTATTTCAAAACGCTCGGGCCCAATTTCGTAGCAGCAGGTGACTTTAACGCCAAGCATACTCATTGGGGCTCAAGATTAATAACACCCAGAGGACGCGAGCTATTAAAAACGATACAAGAAAGCAACCTATTTCACCTATCTACTGGCGAACCCACTTACTGGCCGACAGATCTAAATAAAACACCAGATGTCATTGACTTTTGCATTTGTAAGGGTGTACCCATAAATAATCTAACCTTGCGGTCGTCGTTAGATCTTTCGTCTGACCACTCTCCTCTTCTGTTAGAAATTCATTCGAATATCGTTTTAAAAACTCCAGAACTTAGACTTCACAATAAAAGAACTGATTGGGCTATTTTCCGTAGTTACATTAGCGAACACCTCTCGACACATATTCCTCTTAAAACTAATCATGACATTGAAGCCGCAGTAGAACAATTCAACAAAATTGTACAAAAGGCAGCTTGGTCTGCAACTCCGTCTACACAGAATTGTAGGACTGTACATCTAGACAAGGATATCAAAGAACAACTACTTGAAAAACGTAAATTACGTAGGGTTTGGCAGATGACGAGAGATCCTAACGATAAGAGGCGCCTGAATGTAGCCACTAAAAAACTCAAAATAAATCTAGAGGCAAGAAAAAATGCAAGCATTGCAACTTACTTAGCAAGCTTGTCTCCCTCTGAGGCCACTGAGTACTCCTTGTGGAAAGCCACACGCATACTTAATGCACCAACATCGCATATACCACCAATAAAGATGAGTAATGGGCAATGGGCTAAAACTGATGCTGATAAAGCGAAAACTTTTGCAGTGCATCTTGGTAAAGTCTTTCAGCCACGCTGCTCAAAAAATAATCTGAAAGACTCTGAAGTTGAAGCTTTTCTTCACACACCGCATCAATTAGACTTTCCTATTCCTAGGTCTTTGACTCGTGAATTAAAGTGGGTCATAAAAACAAAATTAAAACCAGAAAAGCTCCAGGATATGATCTGATAACCGGAAAGGTGCTACATGAGCTACCAGATGTGGGTTTTAAATTCATAAACCAATTGTTCAATGCAATTTGCACCTGTGAACACTACCCAGCTCAATGGAAAGTCGCTCAAATTATATTAATTCCAAAACCCGGTAAGCTCGTCGAACTTGCAACATCTTACAGACCGATCAGCTTACTTCCTGTGTTGTCAAAAGTATTTGAGAGAGTATTCCTAAAACGTCTAAAGCCAGTTATCGAAAATAGATGTCTGATTCCCAACCACCAATTCGGGTTTCGCGAACATCACTCTACTATTGAACAAGTAAATAGAGTATATAACTTTGCAAGACTTGCATTGGAAAATAAAGAATACTGCACAGCAGCCTTTATCGACATAACACAAGCATTCGATAAAGTATGGCACACTGGACTTCTCTACAAATTAAAGTTACAACTCCCGCATAGCTACTTCTCCGTCTTAAAATCATATATACTAGATCGGCACTTTATGGTTAAAATGAATAGCTGTCACACTGAACTTTTTCAAATAGAGGCTGGAGTTCCCCAAGGAAGTGTGTTGGGTCCTACTCTATATACTCTGTTCACAGCAGATCTCCCACTCAGGGCTAAAACATACACTGCAACATTTGCGGATGATACTGTAGTGATGGCGAAACACGCAGATCCTGTAGTAGCTTCACAACTTTTGCAAAGTAATCTGAACGATGTCAACGCATGGCTAGACATTTGGCACATTGAAGCTAACGATAACAAATCAGTTCAAACTACTTTTACACTCCGCCACGGTACCTGCCCTTCCGTTAGACTGAATGGCCGTGAATTGCCGCAAGCTGAAAACGCCAAATATCTAGGTGTACATTTTGATCGCCGTCTAAATTGGCGTCACCACATCTTTACAAAAAGGAAGCAGTTAGGACTAAAGCTACGCTCACTTTACTGGCTACTTAATCCCAAATCCAAATTATCGCTACAAAATAAAATACTTTTATACAAGGTCGTCTTAAAGCCAATCTGGACGTACGGTATACCCATCTGGGGTATAGCAGCGAAGTCAAACCTAGATATGATTCAGAGGTTTCAATCAAAAATACTACGTATCTGCGCCAACGCCCCATGGTTTATCCCGAATAACGTCCTACATCATGATCTTGGCATTCCTACTGTGTACGAGTCAATACAGCAGATAAGCAGCAACTATCACTCACGACTGGTAGTTCATCCTAACCCCCTTGCCGCAGGCCTAACGAGGGATGCTTTTAACATTCGTAGATTAATACGCTATGCAACTTCGGATTTGCCGAGCAGATTCTAAAAATTGTAATTCTTCATAAGGCGGTGATTACCACTGGGTAGTCCCGTACATGCCAATCATATATTGTTATTGCCATAAGTAGTACTTATTATTCATGAATAGAATAGATTGTATTTAATAAAATGAAGTTTAAAAAAAAAAAAAAAAAACATTACATTGTCAAATCGAAGTAATGATTAAGATCTGACCTCACTTAAAAAAATTCACAATACCATGTAATCTCCAACAGCAGTTTGGTATATATAGAGTTGGATATTGAAGATATACATTCTATGTAAAAAGTATTCAGTGCAAAAACTTAAACGAAAGAATGCTTATTCAAATGCAATTCTCATCTGATCATCTCATCTGATTAGATATTTTTCAATTCCCGAATTCAAAATGACCTCTTTGAGTAACAATATTTTAAGTCTAGTGTGGCCACTAAAGTAGTTTCGCTGATGAAGTTTTGAAGCTACTTTGGTTATTTTGTATAGAATGAGTCTTATTTCGAAGGTCATAGGTTGATGTCGAAATTTTAATCGTTTCATGATTTTTTTGCTTTTTATTTATTTTACTTGTATAAATACTTTTGTATAGTGAGTAATTTTTCTGATCTTTTATAAAAGATATTTTATACTTTTGTAATACTAATATTTATATTAAATTATAGATTAATGTTTTTGTAAATATTTTATACTTTAAACCCTTTAATTACCCTTAAATTGGCTTGTTTTTCAATTCTATTATTGTAACAATTATGGATATCACACTCAAGTTAAAGTAGATTATTTACGATAAACCATACAAACAAGATAGAACTAAATTAATAATATTAAGTAATAATAAATAAATGTAAAGTAAAATAATAAAATAATTAATAAAAGGAAAAAAAATTATATTAAATTAAAAAACAAAAAACAAAAATACTTGCTTGTCATGCTAACTGTTAAATTATCGGACGGGATCAGGTTTTTTAGCTTTTTAAAGTAGGCAGCATATTCATCATATATGGCAACAAGCTCAGCTTTACTTAGATAATTAATTTTAAAAACGCTACCATTTTCCAAATGTTCATCGCTTGTAAAATCCAAATTACAAGTGGGCTTAAGGGGCGATAAAACGGCTCCATCCTTAAATTGTATAAAACTGCGTAATGCTGTTGCTGCAGCTTCGATACGTGCAATTTTTTTACTGCGTCCTTGGCCCATATATTTCTGACCATCAACCTGAAAAAAAAAATAAATAATTTCAATCATTTAAATAATAAAAATTACAATTAAAACTTTAAAATAAAAATTTTTATATCAATTATTGTTAAAGGTTTGTAGTTTATAGTATGAATCCAACAAATTTCAAGGTTTTTGACTTCATCTAAACAAACTTTAAATAAACTTTTTTTTTCTCAATGCTATTCCTTTTTCCCTTCAAATGATTTTATTTTTAAGAACGACAACAAAAGTTTTGTTAGCATCCTTCTTCATTATCCTTTCGGTAATTTTATAACTTTTTACTGGAATATTTTATTTACTTGCATATGTTTCAAAATATTTTTAAAAAATTATTTCAAGCTACTCTTGTTATAAAAATTTGCATTTTAATTTATTGCATGTATATTTTTAAGAAATTTTATTTTTTTATTTGTACAACTTTCGTGCATCTGTCACCGTTGCAATTTAATTTCATCGGATCCTTTGTAAATCATTGCAACCAACTTGCCAATGTTATTTGTATCCTTTTGAGCAGTCACCACTGAGCAGTGGGGGCAATGGCAATGGCGTCATTACTATCTTCCATATTGTCAACAAAGTTACTTGTGCAGGAAAGTAGTCCACAAATCGAATTATAATGGTCTTATTTTTCCAAACAGTCTTGTCCCGTATCTATATCTGTCTATCAGTCGGTTTGTATGTTTGTATGTTTCTTAGTTTTTGTTTATTTTCATTCATTTTCAAGGAATTCTTGGCTATGTGCACATGTGATGAATTTGTTTGTTTTGCTAAGAAAGGAAGGAAATGCTTTATGAAGACAACATCTACAGCATAACTCATATAAGCAATGGGAAGATACTCATAAATACATAAATAAATTCTGCTAACACAGTATAGTTCACTTAACCAGTTAGGTTATGAGTACAACAAAATTATGGAAGAGTAGAATAGGATGATAGTTAATACAAGAAAGCTTTACGGATGAAAATGTTATAAAATTATTTGAATGCGTTAGTAGTGCTACATAAATAAGCGAATATTGGGTTCTTCTTATCAAGTATACTTATCTGTAAAACAATTTAAAAGGACTGACATAAATCGCTGAAGTGGAACGGAAACTAAATTATAGGATAAGGGAAAATAAAATTTAAGAAAATTGTGGAAATAAAATATTAAATAATTATTCAAGATATGAGTTATAAACCTTTAAGTTTTTATTCACCTATACAAGGGGACAATAGGCCGCTGTACCTCTCTAGAATCACTGGTATAAAATAACCTAGTCTTATCTAGAGGAATATTTTGTGGAAAATATTTGAATCAAATTAAAAGTAAGCAGTTCTTAAGGTGCATGTTTACTTAAAGATCAACTCATCTACTCAAAGGCATCTAATGGTAATTGTGATCTCCTCAAAATTGCCAAGAAGAATTAAGCTACACTAACCTTACTTTTCATTATTACCTGGTATTGAAATGATTTATTAACGAAATTTTATGAAGTTAAATAAATCCAATCAATTTACTTTTCTTATTAATGCCATTCCAGTGAAGAAACAATTTGGTGGACATTGAAATCGCTTCATCGTTAACAAAAACATTGAAAGTGATTGATGAATTCCAGCACCTCTGCCTCATGGCAAATTCTACACAGTCCGCTTGTTAGAATTAGCAAATATAATAAATAGTTAATTTTTTAATTTGTTACTTAAACAGTGAGAATCCAAGGAAGGACAAATTTAACAGACCAATTGCTTATCAACCACCAATACGCAAAATAGACAACTCATGGGCGATATTGAGCGATATTGAAAAAGCAGAGTCGCGTTACATTTGGACCAGGTGTTCAAACCAAATGATAATTAAAATATGCCAGATATCATGAAACAAAGAATAAATTTTCTACAAGAGCCTTACCAATTAGAACTTCCAATTAAAAGATATTTCAATAATAAAGTTAGGGATGTAATAGCGAAGTTAATATGTTAGCGAAACTGCCCTGCAGCAGCTATCACTAAAAAAATTAGTATTTCTCACTCATCGATTTAACGCTATGATAATATGGGGGTTTATTCCGCCATAGTGAAAGATAGCGCATATTTCCATTATACCGAAACAAGGGAAAAGCCTAGAAGACGTCAAAAAATCATATCGCCCAATAAGTCTACTTCCGATCCTGTCGAAAGTAATGGAAATCCTGTTTCTAAAGCGCCTTACACCGATTATTCAACAAAACAGACTCATCCCTGACCATCAATTCGGTTTTCGCCAAAAACATAGCACAATTGCACAAATTCATAGACTTGTTAGACATATCTATAGTGCGATAGATGGTAAGGAATATTGCACTGCGGCATTTATAGATATTTCACAAGTTTTTGATCGAGTATGACATGAGGGCCATCTTTTCAAACTACAACTGAATTTACCCCTAAATGTTTTCATATTTATTAAATCATACCCCTCGGCAAGGCACTTTTTTATTAATTATGGAAACGAAACTACAGTACTTCATGATATAGGATGCGGGACTACCTCAAGGCAGCATAATGGCACCAATGCTTTATCTTCTATATACTGCGGATCTTTCCCTTACCGATGAGAGTGTTATCGGTACATTTGCAGACGACACAACTATTTTATCAGTTGACAGTGACCCAATTTGTACTTCCACCAAACTACAAACCTGCGTTAACAATGTTGCTCTCTGGATGAAAAATTGACGTATCAAACCAAATGAGTCAGAATGTGTCCAGGTAACATTTACTACAAAACGTTGTATGTGCCCGCTTGTTTGAATAAACAATACTCAATTACCACAAGCTGTAGAAACTAACCTGGAAACCACACATATTTAAAAAGCGTAAAGCCTTGGGTCTCAAATTGCGAAACTTATTTTGATTCCTCAGCCAAAATTCCAAATTGTCACTCGACAATTAGCTGCTTATATACAAAACTGCACTAAAACCTATATGGAGTTATGAAGCCCAATTATGGTATACTGCAGCAGACTCATACTTGACACTTATTCAGCGTTTTCAATCTAAAACACTACGAATGATCACAAATGCACCTTGGTATATAACGAATGAACCGCTGCATAAACAAATACGTGTTCCGACAATTAAGGAAGAAATATCTCGTATTACAAAGAATAACGGTCATCGCATATATATGCATCCAAACCCGCTGGTTACACACCTAATATCCCCCTTCAACACTTTTACAAAACTAACAAAAAGAAAAACATCGAGAGACGTTTTAGATATGTTACATATACATACATTCCTATTTTAAGTATATATGGATATGTCACTGGACATAGTCCATACGTGGCTTTCTTTTTTTTAGAGCGTAATAACTATTATTACGATTCTTATTAATATATATTACTTATTGTCATTCATATCTGACAAATTGTAATAAAATAAATGGATTACAAAAAAAGATATAAACCATATCAGGAGCGATTAAGTTCTGCAAGTTTAGTAGTTTATATATATGAAACTATAGACAATCTATATCATAAGCAAATCCTTTACTTTATACTTTACTAACTCAATATGAAATAAAGAGTGCTTTGTAGTGCACTTTTGTGCTATAAATGTGCATAATGTTAATTACATATGAAAAATAAGATATTTTGTCGAATTAAGTGTTTATGCTACGGTTTTTATATAATTTTATGAGGTAGTTAAGTTGCACTACTTTATACAAATAATATATTAATCTTAATTAGTTCATTTGAATTATAACTATAAATGTCACATGTAATATAATTGTTGTTGTCATCGGTATTTAATACTGTGCAATATGTAAGACCATTCTATCTGATAGCTCGAATGCTCCAACATTTTGAAATATAAATTTATATACATTACTTATTGGGTGGATACTAAACTAAAAGAGACATAGTAATTAAAGTTTAGGTTTCTTTAGTTTTTTTCGCATTAAATATGTTGTTTTTCTACAAATACTGCACTATATTTACGCTTCAATTTGTATTCGAGAACGTCTGGGGCCATAGAAGACAGCAAGGATATTTATTGAAAATTTGCATAAGCAACATTCATACCAAGAAAGTTTTTAGGCACAGTTGTGTGCAAAAACTTGCCAAATTATTTGCGAAATTTCTAAAACTAGAAGAGAACTTATTTTGAATTGATTTACGAAATGTGATTTTCAAAATTGCAGTCACATAAATTAACGGATCCAGTTCATGCCGAAAATGAAATTATTTTCCGGCTTCAAGCAAAACACTGCAATTAGGCAAAATATTTTCTTATATAAATTCAAATTTAAAATGCAGAAAGCAAAGCCAGAATACTCGTAGTATAACTACCAACATACCAATATCAAATAGCAAAATGCTGATAAAATCAAATTTTAATTAAATTCAGTCATTTTGCCAAATTGAAATGCAATAAAATATTTCAAATAGCAAAATTATGGCACAAAAACCCATAAAAGACTTAAGCGTGCAGAACACTGAAAGCTACAGTAAATTCAAGACGTTATAAAATAAGTATGAATCGAAATAAGGATGGGTGGATGATGTGAAGACGCATACATAGGGCCTCCTGTGTGCCTTAAGCCCGTTCGCAAGAAATATGCATACGAAAAAAGACGTCAAATAATAAAGTTTCAGCACAAAAATGAATTCCATTGCATAAAGAAACAAAAACTGTAGAGTAAGAATTTTAAATCAGACAAAACAAAAAAGAATTCTAAAACATTAAAGACATAAAGAATAGATAAAAAATATTAGTAAATTTATTTAAAAAACATAAAAGAAGTCAAGCCATATTTGTTTAAACGTGGGTGATACATGTGTAAGGCTCAAGGTATTAGGTCACTTTTATACAGCAATTGCGATACAACAAACACAGCTACTAATGTGAAAGAAGACACAAATACCCGCATATGAAAAAATACTTTTTTTGCACAAAAATAAAATCTACTTCCGCATCTTTACTAGTTTTTCTTAGTAGTTTGTGTTTAACTAAACAGCATAAAACAGA